AAAGTGTGCTGGCTTTGGGACCGTGGAAAGTGTGCTGGCTTTGGGACAGAAGGATCTGAGTTCAGATCCCAGCTCCTGCTGACTCCTTGTGTGCCCACTGAGTGGCTCCATGGACCTGGCTGGGTGACCTGGGCAGTCAAGGAGCCGGCGCCCTCATCTTCAGAGGGGGAGTTTCTACCTGGAAGACCCCAGCCCCAGAAGAGTCCCAGGTCCAAACCAAAACAAAAAAACCACGTTGACACCAGGGCAGTTTTCCTGGTTGAGGCATTCCCCTGTGGCTGCACAGCCCCTGGGCCTGAGAAGGGCCTCCCCTGGTGGGGCTCCCCAGAAGCCAGGACCCTCCGCTGAGTGGAGGGTCTGCTGGCTCTTAATCCTGCCCCTCGCACCTCCAAGGGGAGGCAGGCTAGCCCTTCTAACAGTGGGGCCCTCACCAGTCTCTTTTTTCTGTTGCTTCTTCCTGTCCAGATTGGGGCAAATGACCTCATGTTGGTGAACCTGTGTCTGCCAGCCCCAGCCTGCCCCCTGGGGGGAGAGAATCCTGGCAAGACCCCCAGCAACAGCTGCAAAGTATCACCCTTTGCCCAGACCCTGCAGGACATGTTAAAAGGTAGGGGCAGGGGCCAGAAGGGGGATGCTCATCAGCACTGAGGGGTGGGAGGTTGGCAGGGCCAGCCATCAGGATGCGGGCCTCTACCCTAAATCCTCGCCCCTCGTGAGCTGTGCTGTCTGGGACCATTCCTGGACCTCCCGTCTCACTCATCCCAGCAGCATCTCCACATGCCTGAGGAGTTGTCCTAGCCATGGTGGAGAGGCAGGATGGCTGCTGTCATTAATGACCACTCACAGAGCCCCTTGGATGCACAGCCCTGGGAGATAGAATGTCAGCTCCCTGCGGGCAGGAGCCCTCAAGTGGGATTGCCCCTGAAAGCTCCCTGGCTGGGTCCTGGCTTCCTGCGAGGGGGGCCCTTTCACTGTGATCGTGCCTTTGTAATCACGGGTATTTATTTTATACACGTCAAACCCTGAGTCTGAGGAGGGCTCCTAGGCTTCACCCAACTGCTTGACCGACTGCCTGACTGCCAGGGCCGCGTGACACAGACTTGTGCCCCAGAAGCCAACGGCCTCCATGTCTGTGTGGGCCCAGGCCAGGCTTGGGCGCCTTCTCCTCTTCTCTCCAGTCCTGGGATGGTGAGGCCTTGATGCGCTGCTGGCCTGCCTTCCTGAGCTAGCTCTTTCAACCCAGGCTGGTCAGGGCACAACCCCTGTGGGCTTCCAGGGGAAGAGATAAGTAGTGACCAGGAGGAAGGTTTCTGGGGCTCCACCCAAGCCCGGACCTTCAAAAGACACAAAGCAGCCTAGGCACCCTGGAAGGGCCTGGGCCCAGGACCCTGGAGATTGAGTGCTAGAACCCTAGGGGTTGAGGGCTGGGACCCTGGGGGTTGAGTGCTGGGCCTGGGCCAGGACCACAGGGATTGAATACTGGGACCCTGGGGGTTGAGTGCTGGGCCTGGGCCAGGACCCCAGGGATTGAGTGCTGGGGCTGGACCAGGACCCAGGGGATTGAGTGCTGGGACCCTGGAGGTTGAGTGCTGGACTGGGGCCAGGACCCAGGGATTGAGTGCTGGGACCCTGGGGGTTGAGTGCTGGGCCTGGGCCAGGACCCTGGGGATTAAGTGCTGGGACCATGGGGGTTGAGTGCTGGGCCTGGGCCAGGATCCAGGGATTGAGTGCTGGGACCCCAGGGATTGAGTACTGGGGCTAGGCCAGGAACCCAGGGATTGAGTGCTGGGCCTGGGCCAGAACCCCAGAGATTGAGTTCTGGGACCATGGGGGTTGAGTGCTGGGCCTGGGCCAGGACCCTGGGGATTGAGTGCTGGGACCCTAGGGATTGAGTGCTGGGGCTGGGCCAGGACCCAGGGATTGAGTGCTGGGTGAGGGCCAGGATCCAGGGATTGAGTGCTGGGGCTGGGCCAGGACCCAGGGATTGAGTGCTGGGATCCTGGGGGTTGAGTGCTGGGCCTGGGCCAGGACCCCAGGGGTTGAGAGCCGGGGCTGGGCTTGAGGTACTGCCTCACCCAGCAGACCCTGACTCCCAGAGGCCACTTAGCTGGCTGCTAGCCCTCTCCCCTGAGTACAGGGAGGGTCAGGGGTGATGCCGGGAAAGTGTTTTGAAAACTTTTAAAGCACCATAGAAATGGTCGCTGACATTGTCGTAAAATATTTCAGAGAAAATCTTTGCTGCGCACTCTGCCCGGGCCCATTTGGAGGCATCATCTCCCTGCAGAAAGTCGGTGTGTTGTATAGAGTTGTCACGGGGGGTGGCTTCAGAGGGGGAAGAACATGAAGGAGAATGGACTGGGGTGCGAGGAGCTGCAGGAGGGCCGCGATCTGCCTGGGGAGCGGGGAGCATGCTACCCGCCTCCTGGGAGATCCAAGATGGGTCCCAGCGTGGACTGATCTCAACCCTCCATCCACCCCGTGACTCCCCATGAAGCAGCCCTTGGGCGGGCACGTTAGAAGTCATTCCCATGATTTATTAAAGAGTCTAGGGGCGCACTGGCGTCTGCCCCCACTTCACACACACACAAGCGCACACCCGCACACTCTCTGAATTGGTTTAGGTCTGTCCATGCAGCAGTGGGGTCAGACCCCTCCTTCGGAGCACATGCTGCTGATTCAAAGTGTGCACGCGTGTGTTTGTGGGGTGGCAGTGAGACCAAGTCTGAATAGCAGAGACCTGGCCCCTCCCAGCTGTGGACTCTGGTCAGGTTGCTGAGCCTCAGTTTTCTCATCTGTACAGTGGGCACCTTCATCGGAGCTGTGGTGAGGCTCAGAGGGCATCACACCCCAAAGCACTGGTGATTATTGTGATCATAATTATTATTATTGTCACTGTATGGCTTGGGAAAAAGAGCTCGCCGTCCACCGAGGTTGGACCTGCCTCCCCTGGGGCACCGGGGCCTGTGACCCTGAGTTTCCCTCAGTAAGTGCCAGAGCCGGTGGGAGATGCTGCCCCCACCTCTGGCCCAGGCTCGGCCTCTGGAGCCACCCCCTCCCAAGTCCCCTGGCCCAGGCCAAGCCCTGAGAACCTCAGAAGGGGCCAGGCCAGACCTCGGAGCCCCGGCGTGCTGCGTGGCCCCCTCTCTGCCTCCTCACCCCGAGGGGTGGCAGGCCCATCCCTGGGAAGGTATTGGGGAGCATTCTGCAGGTACCACGGGCTCCTGGACGAAGGGGTCCTAAGAGGCCACCCAGCCATACCCTCATTTTACAGACAGCAGCCGAGGCCCAGGGGGCCAGTGTTCCTGGGTAGCCCAGGTAGCAAAGCCAGGTGTGGTCCAGGGCCTGGGGCTCCAGCAGTCACGGCCTCATCGAGTGAGTGACTCCCAGCCACCGTAACTGGCCTACTGGGCTTTTCCCTCATACGTCTCGACTGTATCACAGTGTCTCCCTGACGTGTGAGGTGGAGAATATTCTGGTGGCTGGCATTTTAGTCTTATCACCTCAACTTCCCCCCACATTAAAGCCCTCACCCTTGCATACTGGGATGACCAGGCTCCATGGCCTCCTGCCTGGCTCCCTGCCTCCCCTCTCTAAGACTTCCTGTCCACCGCCTATGCCTGAGGTGCCTGCCTAGGCCTCTGTGGGTGGACAAAAGGCTACTCTGAGCTCAGCAATGCCCCCTGCAGGCTCTGGAGGAGAGTGATGGGTGGTAGAGGGGGTAAGGGGAAGGGGGGGATTTCCCTGGTCTGCACGCCTGGCTTTCTCTGTCCTCCAGTGACAGCAGCCCTGGACCAGGCACCCTGGCCCTCCGGAGCTCAGTAGCTGACAGTCCCTAGAAAGGTGTTAGGGCCTGTCTGAGCCCACTTTTCTCACCTGCCAGAGAGGGATAAGGATGGCACCTTCCTCCCAGGGCTGTTCTCAGGCTCAAGTGAAATCATGTTTGTAAAGTGCTTTGTAAACCCTGAAGCAGTTAAGAAATGCCCACTTTTCATGAACCTTCCTGCTTCTGCCCTGCCTTTCCCTCCTTCCCTCTCTCTCCCTCCCTCTCCTTCTCCCTCTCCCGCCTTGCCCATCTCCTCCCCCCTCCTCCTTCTTTCTCTCCCTCCCTCCCTCCCTTCTAGGCGAAAAAGACTTTGTTATTCTGGGAGATTTTGGCCAAGGTCCAGAGAGCAGCAACTGTGACATCTTGAGGAAAGAGAAGTTCCAGCCCCTGGTCCCTGGCGGCACCTTCACTGACATCAGCACCAAGAATCCTCAGGGCATGAAGTCAGTGGACAACATTTGGATCAGTAAAAGCCTAAAGAAAGTTTTCACAGGTAAAAAACCACCCTGCCGCCTTGGTGAGGCAGCCCCCAGGGCGGCTCTGGCCAAACCCAAGACGGAGACGGCTGATTTCTGAAGAAGGCCCGGGTTATCTCAGGGTTGGCTTTGCCAGACACTGGGGACTTTGCTCCCAGGGCAGGGATCACCAGCTGCTCCTGGGGCTCATGGCCTCCCGATCACCCACAGAGAGACCCTGAAGGGCGCTCCCCCAGCCTCCATCCGGGAGCTCCGATGGCTTTGACCGGGGGCAGAGCCCTGCTGGAGCTGCTGCTGACCACAGCGGCAGGGCTGTCGGCCCCCTCTCAGTCTGGCAGCCTGAGGCAGGCCCGCACTGCCCCACTCTAGTGATACCTCAGACCTCACCTGAGCCCACTGGGACACAGGCGCTCGCTGTGGGGACGAGGCTGAGGGTTTGTGGTTTCTATAGACAGGATGAGGAGGTCAGCTGATAGCATCTGAGCCGTCCCCTGGAACCTAGACCAGGGGGTCTTCCCTCTTTGGGGCCCTCGGGCGGTCAGTCTGGTGAAGCCTGGGACCCTCTTCTCAGAGTTGGGTTGTAATGCAGGCCGCCAAGTACAGGGGATTACAAAGGACGCCAGTTTGATTGAAGTGGTTGGTGAAAGGTTTGAAGAAACCAAGCCAAACCAAGTTCGCAGACCCCAGGTTAAAACCCCTTGCCTTGCCTTTGGCGGTTTCACTGTGTAAATGCTTTGACCTCAGGTAACCGCGTGACTCTAGTAACCAGAATCACTCGAGGACTGTTCCCTCCCAGGAGCCTCAGTCTGGTGTTGGCAGGGACCTCAGAGGTTGCTCATTCTACAGATAAGGAAGCTTAGGCCAAAGGAGGGCTTGTCCTGGGTTCCCCAGGCCGGAGTGGGGGATTTGGACCCACAGCTCCTGATTCTAGAGCCGGTGTTCTGTGCCAGGCTCTCAGGAGCTGCCTCGCTCTTCCCCTGATGTCTCACTCTTCCTCCCTCCCTACAGGCCACTGGGCAGTGGTGAGAGAAGGCCTCACAAACCCCTGGATCCCTGATAACTGGTCCTGGGGGGGCGTGGCATCTAGCCACTGCCCCGTGCTGGCTGAATTTTACACCGACAAGGACTGGAACAAGAAGGAGGGCATCCCCCGTGGTGGCAGTGGCGTGTCCTTGGAGCAGAGCGAGGTCCACAGCAAACACGAGCGATGACGGCGCCAGGGCGGCGGGGCCGGAGGAGAGGCCGAGCTCTTGGACTGCAGCGTCCCCTGAGAACCCCCACCACCCTTCCTCCCTCCTCCTCCGAGGCCTCCAGGAATGTTCCGGAGTCTCGTTCCTGCACACGAAGCTGTGATTCTTTATGGGGGACAGAACGGGCACACATTTATCCGACTGGACGTTCCCTTCCAAATGCAGAGGGACAAGAGAATCCCCTCAGCCGCTGCCCGAGGCTGTTCTGAGCTAGGGGCCTTGGGGGGCCCAGACAAGGGGATCTGCCCAACACGTGGGCAGGCTCTTCTCTGTTTCTCCCGGCTCATCCCCCCTGCTTGGGCCTCCCTTTCCGGCCTCCCTGGGCTTGACTCTGGCCATGACCAATTTAAGGAGGCTCTGTCCTCTACCCTTGAATGCCATCTCTGACCTTCACTGTTCATCCTCCACTAATCTTCAGCCTTCTCTGCTCCTGAGCTAAACGGAGCAGGACAGAGCTAGACATCCCGCTGACCGTGCCTGGCCCACATTTGTGTTGCCATGTGGGGTGAACTGTTACCTACAGCCAGCGGTCTGAAGCCTGCCCTGGGGCCTTTGGCCTCCAGCCTCTGGTTGCTCTCCGTACACAGCCGACCTTGCCTCCTCCTCTGTGGAGAGAACGGAGGTCCTGGGCACCGTCCTTGCTAGTTCTCTGCTCCCAGACACCTCATCTCTCCTGCTCCTCCTTTGCCATGGTCGGGAAGAGAGAGGCAACCCTCCTCCTTGCCACAGCTGACTCCTTTACTGGCCGGGCCCTGGGATGTGGGACCTTCCTTTACTGGGCCCCAGGCCCTAGGCTCCCATACCCAGCCCAGCCCTTCTCATCCTCAAGATCCTTCCATTATTCTCCAGCTCACTTTCCTGTGTGTCCTGTTTGTCCTTACGTGCTGGCTCCAGACCTGACCCTCCCCTCAAGCTACCTCCCCATATCTCTTCGCTCTTTCAGAGAGAGACAGAGAGTGAGACAGAGAGAGAGAGACGGAGAGAGACAGAGAGAGAGACAGAGATAGGTAGATAGAGAAAGAAAGGAAGGAGGGACAGAGAGGAGAGAGAGAGAGGGAGAGAGAGAGAAGAAGGGGGAGAAGAGGGAGGGAGGGAGAGAGAGAAGAAAGGGGAGAAGAGGGAGGGAGGGAGAGAGAGAGA